GAAACTGATGAAGCATGAAAGACAAATGTGCATAACCAGTTGGAAATTCTGAGAGGGTGATTTTAGCAAAATAAAGGATTTGGTGTGGTTCAATGGAATTTGCCCAAGAGGGTTCTCATTTCAAATTCACATTCACAATGTAACTGCTGCTTACTTTGCTGACAAATCAACACAGTAGTGGAGTTCTGTAAGAGGACACATTTTCAAATCAGTGTTATAAAAACAATGTCTACCTTCTATTGTGTTATATCAATAATTTTAAGTATAGCTAATTATATCTTTTTCATAATTTCAAACTGCATTGTAGTTTATTATAAAGCACACTAATCTTTTGAAAGTATGGGATAATGGGTTGCTCGGGAGAAACAATAATTCCTCAAGAACTATGGCTTAAATAAACTAGCTTTGAAATTTATTTTTGGGTTGGGTCTACTTAGTACAAAAATAAAGGAGAGAAAATTAAATAAATGAGTATCAAATGACTTGTTGCAGGTTATAATAGTCAGTTTGTATCAGAACAGAACCAGTATCATAAGCCACAGTTTAACAATTGTGGTCTGTAGCTGCACTTGGTTTAATAAAGTCTTTCGTCTCTGACATAGAATTTTTAATCTTCTGCAAGCATTCCTTGAATGGAGACCGGCTAACTCATTAAATTATAGACATTTTGGTGGGAATTCTTTGGCTTCTATGTCTTCTCCACACCATTAAACTCATATAAGTAGGATGAAATACCAAGTGTTGGGTTCCTAAAGACTCCTTTTTTTTTTTTTTTTTTTTTTGAAATACACTATTTCCCTACTACTTCACTTCAAATAAACAGAGTTTGGGCTACAGAGTTCCCAATCTATTTTCTTATGTGACCTCATCTCCTTGATCATGAGTATTTGGTTTCTTAATTTGTTGGAACTGAAATTGAAACAGATAAGTTATTCTCTCACAGGGAACTGCACCTGAGAACACAGAAACTTGAACTGAGAACATCTAAGCTATTCCTCCATATGGGTGAGGAATCAGAGAATGGCAGTTTGTTTCTCCCAGGACATTCACTGTTTACACCAGTTGTCCCAGTATATTTACCAGTAGTGTCTTCTCTCAAAATGTTCCAATTTAGAAACTAAATTACATGGTCACATTAATCACTCAATATTGTGATGGAAAATAATGAAGCTCAACTTGAACAGCAACTATATAGGTATCATTCTGGGTTCCATTATACAAGTCAAGAGACTCAATTTTCATAATTTGGAAAGAGGGACAGAACTTACCCGTGTAAGAAAGCAAGTGCCTTTGAACTATGAAGGCTCCCATCTTTTATATTCTACAAAGGGTCTCTTTCTGAAATTGGGTCTCCTATACTGTTGCTGAATAGGTAGGTGCTTGCTATTAATGCTGGTATGCAGAGTAGTTGTCCCTAACACACAAGTTGTAGGAATGATTGCTACAAAGGATTTGCCATCCTGTATTCTGGTCATAGAAGCATGGAAGTTTAGAGTCTTCGTGTGAATGCTGATAAGCAACTGGGACTGTCACTGGGGTTTAACATTCATGATACATTCACTAATGTTCTATATCAACAAAAGTCAACTTTCAGGGAGAAAGAAGAATGAAACAGATGCATAAAGAACAGCAGAGCAGAGCTGAGTTGTGGCTCAGGGTTAGAGTGCTCACCTAGCACATGCAAGGCCCTGGGTTCGATCCTCAGCACCACATAAAAATAAACAAACTAAAGGTATCATGTCCAACTACAACTAAAAAATAAATATTAAAAAAAGAACAGCAGAGCAGAAAAAAGGGTACACTGAGTTTCTTCTTATGTTCCACACTCTTTTTGAGCTGCCCTTGGTGTATGTGACATCATTTCTTCATAATTACAATGGATTTATAGTCCAGTTCTCTCCAAAAGCTTTCTGTAATTTTCAGTTCTAAAGTCCCAATATCACTGTGAATCTAAACTGAAAATAATATTAAATTTTATCTGTGATCAGATCAGTAAATGAAATTCATTTATTTATGCTTTTATTAGATGAATATTGAATGTTTAGTGTATTTTCAACATTGTGTGGGCTTCAGGGCATACAGTAAACCAGATAAACATATTCCTACCTCCTTGAAGATATCAAACTAATAATTATAGATGTGAGATATTCCCATTCTGCTTCAAAAGATTGATCAAATAACTTACTAGAGTATTCAAAGCCTTGTTTATGTATTCAGGGTATCCATCTGCTTTGGGTTAATAGTCTGTGAAGAGTCATTGAAATGAAAACTCTCTGCCCAAGAATGGATTCTATTCTAAACAGACAGACTTGAAAACATATGAAAAGATATGTGTTACCCCAAAATATCTATGTGTAAATATGGAAATATGCTTATGTATATATGATGTAAATTTTTGTGTTAACTTTAAAAAATTGCTCTACCATTTCATTACTTTTTGCATCCTATGATAGACATGTCACTTGATAGGGTCTTATGTGGTTGCTGGGAAATATCACATGAAAAAATAATTCTACTATGTTAGCCAAACCTCTATGGAGAAAGGGTTTTTTGTATTTTCCTGAAAATTTAGGGGCGTAAATATTGTTCCAAGTCTAAGAGAAACTTTAAAGGTGATTTGGAGGTACGGAATTCTTGAAAAAAATTTCTCAAGCTTTGTAAGTAAGATAAGTAAGATTTCTTTTAGTATTCCCTTAAGGCAACAAGCCATTGTGGGTTTTTTTTTATATGCATTAATTTATTTTCACTGAATATAATACTGCTGGGAAACCTAAGTGCAGAACAGTCCAGCAATTTCTCTTCAGGTGTGAACACTGTTAACAGATGGGGCAGAACAGGACTGACAGGGAACCTGTAAGAACATTTTGATTTTAGGTTAGGGGTTCTAGGGATATAATGGAAAATCTCCCAAGTTTATCAAAAGTTGGGGTAGTGAAGTTTCAACAGTTGTAGGCTAGTATTTAGAGTTTTAAAAAGGCAAAAATCTGAAGACTATGACCCAGGAAGACTGAAACTACACCTCTCTCCCTCATGTCCTCTTAAGATAGAACCTGATGGGTATGTCCATAGTCCTCTCCACCTGTCGTCAGTGAGGGGAAGGGACAAGAGGCATTTTTTTCTGTACTGTCTACAGAGATGTGGAGTCTGTATATAAGCTGACAAATCCTTGCTAGTGATGTTGATAATCATGTTGAGAGCGGGCTAGGGCAGCCCACTGTTCCAGCACTTTTCATACACTGCCCATTGAATTTTCATAAGCATGAGACATGTACTATAATTATCCTTGTTTATGGATGAGTAAATTAAAGCAAAGAGAGTTCACACAGTCTGTCTAAGGTCATAGGCAGAAAGTGTCATCCCTAGAGTTTGAACTAGGGCCTGCTGGCTGCAGAAAGTATGATTCAAACAAATTTTTCCTGACTTTTCTTAATGGAAGTTAATTGGTAGCAGCCGGTAAGTGTAGCCCATAGCAGGTGCTCAATGAGCCTTTACTGACTGACTGACCATTGGATTTGTGGGCAGCTCTCCTTGATTTGCCAAAAGGTTAACCCCCAAATGTGCAGTCAGATGTTGCAGAAGGCTGGCTTTGCACTTTCCCCTCCCTATTACATGTATTAGAGATGGAGACCTGGTGAATTGGGGGGTATTCTTAATCTTAGAAAGAAAAGTTGGGTTTTTTTTTTTCTCTTTCTGGGTCACATATCTCTTTTTCAGAATTACATAAGAGATAAAAATCCTTTCCAAAAAAATACCCACCCACAAAAAGTTTTGCATAATATCCTGGATTGTTTAAATCTTTAGAACCTTCCAGGAATAACACCAGTAGTTTTGGGGGTAGTGTCTCTAAAATTTGAATGTCCAAACAGTTAATTTTCAAGCCATTTATGTGAATGCTTGATTCAGAGAAAATTGCATTCACATTTTATTGAGGTATTTGCTTTTGTTTTCCTCCTCCAGGGGAAAGCTCTGTGCCAGTGTTACAGTTGGCTGTGGTCACTAGCTGGCTGCCTGGTAACGGCACAGTTTGTGCATTCCATGGCGAGGCTCCAGAAAGGCAGAAAGCACTGCTGGGGAGCGGATGTACGAGCCCCAGGTTTCTGACATGAACATTACTAATGCTGCTGCTGAAAGACCTCATTATTATCATGGCAGATACAGGGAGAACAAAGGGACCATTTTCAGCACAGAGAGCTATCTGTTGTTGCTAATTGAATATTTTTTTTTAATTATGGTTTTAAGTTGGTCAGAGTATTCTAGCATGTATTTTTTGGCATGAGTTCATTAAGGAGCTTCTCTTAATACATGGACTGAGGAGCACATCCTCACACACTCACAGGCCTCCTTTATTTGAATTATGGTGAACAACAGATGCAAGTGTAGCCATTGTTTGAGGACTTTACATTATTTTTGGCCAAGAAGAAATAGAAAGTATAGGAAAAAAATGACATGAATTTGGATATCTTCTCTTTTTTTGCATTTAAGATTCTCTGGAAAAGAATATAATTTTCCATGAGATCGGAGAAATAGAAACATGATTTATTGCTGGAAATGATGTGTTTTATTTCTCAGCTGAAGACTAGAAATATCCAACAACTTTGGGTAGTGGGTGGTTTCTTTGTCTGTAAAACTATATTTCACTTTTCTGGGCACAATGAGGAGGAGGAGGGTGACTGAGTGAAAACACTGGATGGAGATACAAAGACCCTGATTCAGTTCCTGTTCTGCCATCAACATGTGTGATCTTCAATAGGCAATTACCTTCCTGAGTTTGAGGCTTCTGTTTAAAGGAGAGGAGTTGAGCTGTCAGGTCCTTGTAAGCTCTAAAACACTATTGTTTTTTTCCTTTAATTTTTCTTTTATTTATTTTAAATATTTTATTGGTGTATCATAATTATACATATTAGTGGAATTCATTATTACATAGTTGTACATGCACACAATATAATGATTTAGGAAATGTGATTATTTTGTTTATTTTCTTCCTTCCTTTCTTTTTCCCCCCCCCCCCTTTGGTGACTTGAGTCAAAGCACTTGAACCTCACAGCTGAACTCCTTGAAAATCTGTGATCCTTGTTCCATTAGCAAGGTCACGGGGCTTCAAATACATCACAGCATCTTGGATACAGCAAAAGGATTGTTCCACTGAAAAATGAAGCCAATGCTTAGAATTTCTTTTGACTTCCTCTTACTTTCAGCATCAAGAGCAGAGCATTCTTAATATATTTTTCGTTTGCATTGTGACAGAAGTTCAGGGAGAAACACGCAGTGTCTTTCAATCTTCTCCCTGAAACTCAGTCTAATTCCTTATTGATTTTTCTACGTATAATTTTTACTATCTTTTTCATCTGGGAAGCCTTAGGAGGCACTTGGGTCTGTTAATTGTAAAATGGCCCAAGAGAGACCTTGTTTAGCTGAAATATTTACCTTCATTTGAGCCATTTCACTTCCATGATTCTGATTTTCCCAAATATCGGCTTCCTTCTCCCTGGCTGAAATCACCCTAGGAAACTTAGAGTCAAAGAACAGAACATAAAATAAAATCAAAAAATAAAAGTTTTCTGTATTTATTCTTTCAAGAGATGAGGATAGGAGATTCTGTTATATTTTGATGCTGACATAGACCACATGAAGGGGAAATATGTAATAGAAGTGGTGTCCCTGAACTTCAGAGTAGGTATTGGTGCTTTGGTTCAAAGGCAAATTTGTAATCTCATCATAAATTTTCAGTATACTGGAGAAACATTCATTTGAAAAGCTGAATAGCAATTAACATTTTGTTTCTTCCTACAGAAAGTTGGTGATGACCCTGTGGATCTTTCTCTTAAGAACTAGGTTTCCTTTCACATTCTAGTCTCCTCTAAGGGTCGATTCATGAAGTCTTGAATAGCCTGGTGCAAAGGAATCCATTTTTTGATAGACATTTGCAGAGCTGTAATCCAGCTGCAGAAAAAAACCAAAACAGTATTAGAACAGGTCACTAAACCAATTGTTGGACTCCGGAGATATGAAGTAATACAATATCTTTTAATTTATTTTCTAATTGTTTTTCTTGGTTGCTTAGCTTGAAATTAATCGGATAAACCACACTCCTTAGATTCTGAAGTCAGAAGGTAAAATACCACATGTGGACTATGCAGTGATAGTGATGAAGTTTGATAATATAAACAGTAGAATCCAAAGAGAGTATAATGTTTGTAAATATTCATTAATGGATATAAAGGTTTTAAAAAATTGTGATTAATATTTTATTGTTTCTATTTAATTTAAATTTTAGTTGATTAAATGTAATCAAATATTGCCAGATGGTTAAATGTTTTTAAATCGGGAGGCCACAACAAACACTCCAGTTAAGTCTCCTTTCATCTCCCTTTTTTAAATTTTGTTGGATGATATTTTATAAGCTTGTCCATATAACATTTACTCTAAGGGCAAGTGCTAGTTTTTTAAAAATACCACCAACAATGACCGAAACAAATGAACTAGAAATCTTTCCAGCAGAACGTCTCAGAAATACTAACAGGTTAATGTGCTCTGTAATTCTCTGAGAGGAGAATATGATTTGTGTCATTTCCTGAATTTACTTTAGGGATAAGTAGAGTATCTTGTGAATCCAGAGTCTTATGCACTTTGTAATCCTATGCTGTTATGCTTTGAAATATTTCTATAATGTCTCAATATTTTTCTGATAAAATCTCCTGTGAATTAACAGTGAGGGCCAACCATTCAACCTCCTCTCATAGAGAAGCTGGTGGACTTCATCAGATGAGCCTAAACTCTGTTTTAGTGACTCTCTTTCTCTGATATGCTAGGTGAAGCCATTCCCAGGTATCTGTCTTTACCTGCTGTAGGGATAGTAACCATGCCCAGGAAGGAGATCCTGGTAAAATATCCAGTGGTTCTACCTTCACTATCCTCTAGCCCAGCCTTAGGAATGAGAGATACAGGCAAAGTTTACCACATTGAAGAAGGTGTAAGAGATCTCTATATCCCTTCCTCAAATGGATATTTGGTGGAAATCTCCCTTTTAGAATTTTATTTCTTTGGGTTCAAACAATGTGTCTAGTTCTTGCAAATGTCCTTGGAAATTTTTGCCATGTCTTTTGCCACACTAAGTTACTGGGAATTTCTTTCTTAGATTCTTGTTTCCCACACAGTTGTATAAAGGGTTTGGATGAGGTAGGGGATGGTCATGAAGCAGGTGAAAGTAGGGATAGAAAATGGAGGGTACCGGATATCTTGGAGATTGAAGTCGGGTTATGGAGACTGAAGGGAGGAGAATACTTTCAGTAACAGAGAGCATTTCCTCTGTCTCAAGGTTTTGTCTCTGATAACTTGATTCTTTTTCAGAATCATTATGAACTAAGCGGTATTTTTTGCATGTCAACATGGATACTGAATGCATCACAAATTAGGTAAATTCTATCTCCTTCAGTGGCTTATAATAAAAGGAAACCACCAACCAAATGTAGGTGGATATATTAAATACAAGTGAAATAAAATCTGTGGATTAATAAATTATAAGAGTTACAGATTATGGTGTTTGTGGATATTTTATGTTGAAGCTTGAGGTTGCAACTGCCTGGGGAAGAATTGAAGATTACTACTTTTTCATTTGAAAAAAATAAAAGAAACCTTTTAGAATAGTTATCTAAGGAGGCATTGGAGGAAAAAAAAAACTATTCTATGGAATACTATGAAAACTACAATGAAAGAGAGGGATTTAACTGAAGATGTGGATTTGGAAAATAAGGACAAGGGTTTGCTAAGAAGGCCTTGTCAGGACTGATAAAGAAGAAGAAATATGAAGTCCTTGGCTTACCGCTGGTTTTCTGTTTTATTTTCTGCACAGAGATAGAAAGTCTTGAACTCTTCTGATGGAGGTTTGAGTTCAATTACTGATTGTTTGAAGCTATGGGTCTGTTCACTCACCCTATATCCTTGAAGATATAGGCCACCTACAGAGCATGAAAAAAAATTAACCCATGTGAGAATAGGGAAAGAGTAAAAAGGAGAAAAGATGTCTGAAAAGGTTTCAAGAACATTTTGTGTGTGAAGAACCCTCTAATCCAGCTGTCTCGTTTCACAGGTGAAGAAACCAAGACTTCAAAAGAATGTGTAATTTCAGGTCACACACTATTTAATGGTTAGTAGAAAAAAAAATTGAATTTACTTGTTTCCATTTGTGCCTTCTTCTTACTACATGATGAGTATTTAGCTTTGGATAACTGTGCTTAAACTGGTTTCTTTATCTGAAGAGCATATTTTGAAATAAAATTTTCAGCATCAAAGAGTTTCACCTGGAATATTACATTAGAGGCAAATTAAATAGTATTTGCTGAGGCAAATCATTAAAATATCCTTCCTGAAGAATAAAGATATCCAGCAGTTTCTACAACCAACACAGACTCTCACTCTCTTTGCAAATATGCAAAGCATATTTAAAATATGAACCCATAGGGTGACATGAAAGAGCCAACTTGAATTAAAAATGAGAATAAGTGATTTATTTTATTGTACTGGGGATTGAACCTAGAGGTGCTTTACCACTGACCCACATCCCCAGCCCTTTTTAAGTTTTATTTTGAGACAGAGTCTTACCAAGTTGTTTAGGGCCTTACTAAGCTACTGAGGCTGGCTTTGAACTAGTAATCCTCCTGCCTCAGCCTCATGAGTTGCTGGTTTTACAGGTCTGCTCCACCATGCCTGGCACGTGATTAATTTTAAAAGACAATTTCTGTCCTGTGATATTCTGAGACCATGTAAGAGGTCAGACTGTACGTAACTTGGCCTGATTTTGTTTTCGTTATTTAGAGGCAGGGAGGATCTCAGTCTAGGAGAAGGCTCTGAAAAATCAACATCCTTGTCTGTTTTTTGTGGTGTTTGATACTTTGAGTAGCTTGACTCATGCAGATATGCCAGGCAGTGTCAGCAACAGTGATGACGGGGTGTTTAAAGCTCTCTTGCTCCTGCTCACTCCCCTAACTCCTCCCAGGAGCCACTCTGGTGCACTACACTAACAAAGAAAATGCAAAAATATCATTTAGATTTTTGCCTCTCTACCTGATAACTGCTCTGGGCAAATGTATTAACAAGAAGGCTAGGAAGGGAATATGTCAGACTTTTCCTTTTGATTGTATTCACTTCCAATATGTACTGTCAGGAAGATGCAAATTTTCTTTTTAAACACAATGAGTGGACATTGGTCTTTAAAAATTAGGGGATAGGGACTGAGGTTGTAGCTCAGTATTAAATTACAGCATGTGTGAGGCACTGGGTTCAATCCTCAGTGCCACATAAAAAATAAATAAAATAAAGGTATTGTGTCCAAAAAAAAATTTAGGAAAAAACCTTGTTTATTTTATGAGAGGGTTAGATGCGATATAAATAAAATCCTTTTAATTTCATTTAAAGCATCCAATTTAGAATTGACTTCTGAGAAATTATTCATTTCAGAAATGGACAGAATTTTTTTTTCCCTCAGTAGATCTCAGTAGTAGGGTATTTACTACCAAAACTATAGGGTGATATCTTTTTCTTTCTTTCTTTAAGAGAAAGATCTAAAACAGCTTTATTGAAATATAATTTGTATACCATAAAATCCACCCACGTAAAGTGTATGGCATCTCTGTAATCTAATTTTAGAACATTGTCAACTTAAGTAGAAACTCCACACCCATTAGCAGTCACTTTTCATCTGATGTACCCTCCCAACCACAGGCAACCTTAACCTATTTTCTGTCTCTAGAGATTTGTCTTTTCTGAAGCATTTAATAAACATCAACGCTTCATTCCTTCTGGTTGCAAAATTATATTCCACTGTATGGATATACCACATTTTATTTTACCCATTCACTAGCTGATGGACATTTGAATTTTCTTCCATTTTTGACAATTATGAATAATGTTTTGAATATTCGTGTACGAGTTTTGGTCTAGGTCTGTTTTTATTTCTTTGAGTATATACTAGAAGTAGAATAGGCAATCCGTTAAATGTTTCAGGACAGTAGAGTACCTAAAGACATATCAGGGTTATTTTACTGTCTAATTTCCCTGCTCCAAATAATAGCACACAGTATTTATAGGTTGCTTCATTGGTTTGTGGCTTCTTCCTGATTGTGAGATTTCTTTTTTGTTTTTTCCACGTTTGAGAAGACATGAATATCCTTCACTGACTCTACCCTTTCTGAGAATGAATAGAAGGTGTTGTCCAATAAACTGTTTCCTACAAACAGGAAAGTTTTTTTGACCCTTTTTCTAATCAGAAGTAGGTTATAAATGATTGGCAGAAAAGACATCCAATAATAACCCCATTAACTCCCTTGAGGTGACTTCACTGGGCTGGTGTCTCTTATGAGACAGGTAGCAATAATTATCAAGTCTGCACAATGTTGGTTGCAAGAACTGTGCAAGCATTGCATGTCCTATTTGTTGCAATAGTGTAAATATATCTTTCTGAGAAGTACACACAGACCTTGATGTGATTTATTCATGACCAATAGCCAACAGTCATGATTTGTTACTTTCAGCTTTTGCTGGAGAGAGAGAAAAGGAAAAAAGTCATCAAGTGCATGGTGAATGACAAAGGCCTTCAGGCTCATGTGAAGGCACTTTACTGAGGGGCTTCCAGAATAATCACACAGTGGCTTTTTAATATTAGCAGGCACATGAGAGCCAGCAATATATGTTGTTAAAATACTAGCACTTTCCTTGACAGGAAGGAAAACCTTCAGGGAACCCATGAGGCTCTTTCTCATTACACAATAGAGGTATATTTATCCAATTGAAAGTCAAATATGGGATTAGTGTTTAATATGGTTCTTACAGGAAACTAGGGCTGTGTTCTTCCACATCCTGCTCTTTCCCCTTATAGTAATTTTATGTTTTTCCTGACTTCCCTTTGTTACCCTCTGTGTCCTCACAACATCTCAGTTAACTGTTACAAGGAATGAGGCATGCTGATGATGCTATAGAAAGCTATAAAATAGGAAATACCACATGTAGTCTTTGAGATCTCTAATGAGGAACACAAAGCTACAGATTAAAACACTAAAATTAAATTTAAAATATACAAAACAGCAAAGCAACTACGATGGTACAATCATGGAACCAGGTCTCCATGAAGTGGTGACTACAGAAGCCTGGGTCACAAGAACAAAAAAATGAGTGGCAGGTTTACTACAAAAATATTCTAAAGGAAGTAACCATCTTTAAATACCCTGTTTTTAGGATTCTGAGCATGAAGTTGACCATCTGAACAAGAATACATGTAGAGACAAAAAGTTTTTTATATCAGCATTTTTCTAACTTTTTCGGTTGTAATAAATGCAAACATCTACATGTTTTCATATTATTGAACAAAAGTTTTATGAAACATTGTGATGTGCTGTGATATTTTCTACTCAATTAAATTCCATTCAGCTTTTATTTAAAATATTCAACACAGCCTACTACATTGATTGCATGACTCACTAATAGAACCCAATCCTGCAGTTTGAGAAGCACAGTCATAAATGATAATCAAGACTTTCTTCAAGGTTATGACATTCATAGGGCAGAAGAACAAGCAAATGGACATGTGTGGGATGTGCAAGAGTCAAGCAGAACTTGTACAGTACAAATAAAGGAAGAATTATAGATCAGACCATTTTATAGACTATTTACTCAACATCACCTAGAAGAATTAAGAATGAGCGTTAGAACTTGGCATAACCTTTATGAATGTAATAATGATTCATATTCTTCCAGGTGGGTGGAGTATACCTGTAATCCCAGAAACTTGGGAGGCTGAGGCAGTAGGATGGCCAAGGATGGGGTCAACCTCAGTAACTTAGCAGGGCCCTAAGCAGTTTAATAAGACTCTTTCTCAAAACAAAAACATAATGATTCATATTTCATGCATATAAAATGATTATGCCACACTGAATATTTTGTCTCCAGTAATGTTCAAGGTATAGTATGAGTTCTGTCATTCTCAACAAATTCTGTTACTGTTCTCACAATTTCCATGGTTCTCACGGATTGGGTGGACCCTGGCTAACTTAGTGTGCTGACACACACCATTACTAACTCAGTGCTACTGTAAGAAGAATAATTTCTGCCAGAGGGCGCTACACATAGAATTGTGGCTGAGTTTGGGCACAGGATTCAGTTAGCACTTATTCCTATTTTGAGTCTGATCACTTAATTGCTGGGTGATTATCAACATATTAGTTAAAATTTCTAAGTTTCTCACCTATTGATGGGCAATAACTGGGGGTGTTTTGTAAAGATTAGATATAGATAAGGAACATTAAGTGCTTATCCTAGTCTTTGACGCGTAGGAGGTTTTCAGTAGATGCTAACTTTCCTCCTTCAGTATAATTAAGCAGTATGTCCCAGCCCTCTGATAAAATGTCTCACCTGGGCAGTGAGGGTGGAGAGAGTGAATTTATTCTGAGGAATTTCCACAGGAGGTTTGGATATACCTCCATTCTGTCTTGAGTTGCATCATGTTAAATCATTGGCTGTGAGCTCAGGTGATGAGTCAAGATTGAACTGGACTCATAGAAAAAGGATGTAATGGGCTGGGGATGTGGCTCAAGCGGTAGCGTGCTCGCCTGGCATGCATGCGGCCCGGGTTCGATCCTCACCAACACATACAAACAAAGATGTTGTGTCCGCCAAGTACTGAAAAATAAATATTAAAAAATTCTCTCTCTCTTAAAAAAAAAAAGGATGTAAATTTCACTTTAAAATTTAATTCTAGGGCTGGGGTTGTGACTCAGTGGTAGAGCACTAGCCTAGCGTGTGTGAAGCACTGAGTTCGATTTTTCAGCACTGCATATAAATAAATTAATTAATTAAGTAAAGGTCCATTGACAACTAAACAAAAACTTAAAAAAAAATTAAATCTAGGGAAAGGTACTTCAGAGGAGCTCCTCTACAGCCTGAAGAAAGGTTAGCATCTGGTTAGCTGAAGGGGAAATCCAGTCTGGATCTAGCTGTAGTCAGAGTGTGAGGGGGAAGAGAGATGGTGATGAAGTTCAGCTTCTGGAATAAGCTGCATGCTCAAGGAAATAGTATTTTGTATTCAGGGAAGAGTAGAATCATGTAAAAGCAAAAACCCACAGTCCTCTATTTCAGAACAGGACCTAGATATAGATTTTCTGTTGTGATTTCAATAAGGAAAATATTCTCTAAATATTTGAGATAATCTGGGCTAGAAATTGAGAATCTGTGGAGATAGAAATATTCAAGAAGTTAAGGAGGGATAGGATGGGTAGGTTAAGATTGTATTTCTATTAACCACAAAATAACATATTTTTAGAGAGTATTATGGTTAGATATGTGGTGTCTCCCAAAATCTCATGTGTGAGACAATGGCGGGGTTTAGAGGTGAAATGATTGGGTTATGAGAGCCTTAACCCAATCAGTGTGTTAATCTCCTGCTAGGGAATAACTTAGTGGTGACTATGGGCAAGTAAGGTGTGGCTGGAGGAGATAGATCATTGGGGGCATGGCTTTGGGGTATATATTTTATGAGCTGAACTTAGTCTATCTGCTTCCTGATGCTACATCCTGAGCTACTTTCCTTCAGCATACCCTTCAGCCATGATATTCTGCCTCACCTAAGGAATGAAATCAGTCATCTATAAACTGAGAAATCTGAAACTAAGAACACCAAATAAGCTTTTCCTTCTCTAATTGTTCTTGTCAGGTCACAGCAGCAAAAAGCTGACTAAAGTAGAGGCATTTTTTAAAAAGTGATAGAAATTAGATAGTTTCTTATAGCTGTAAAAAGTGTGATAGAGCAGAAAGACCACAGATATGATGACCTGAGTTGCTATATTGTATTTGAGTTACTTTTGCAATCTTCTGATTTTTCTCCACTAATAAATGAGGAGATGATATACTACACATACCTCATAGGACTGACGACCAGTTGAGGTCATTTGAATATCCTTTCATTCATTAATTCATTCAATGTAGATAATAGTGATTTCTAGAGGATATAATTCCTTGGAAAAGATAAGATGGCCAGCAAGAGATAAAACACAGGGTAGAAGGTGATAAGTGTTACAAGATAAATAGTTCCAAAAAGAGAGGGTTGTTTATCTAGGGTAGTCTGGGATAGCTTCATGAAAGAGATAGAGAGCATTTGCTTCCATGTTTGAAGGACAGCTTGTACTGGCAATCAGTAGTAGTAGTAGAAGATTTCAGGGAAAGGAACTAGCACAAGAAAAGGTATAGGATCTGAAAATTGTCCAGGAGGTGAGGTGTGCTAGAAAAATTGACTGTAACTGTATTTAGGTGGAGTGCACTATGCTTTAATACAAGGAGTGGAAGATAAAGCCAGATACAGGAATTGTAGGACAAAGATAAGGCCCTAAAGTACTTAGCAGACAACTTTGGAAGATTCTGGAAAGACATGTGCAATGATAAGTGCTGAGAAGATATAAACTTTCCAATTTTTTCTACTTATCAATATTTTTTGGGGGAGGTTATGAATAACTCAGGTCACCTAGGTTCAAATTCTGTCTTCACTTTCTACATGGGCCAGTTATTTCACCTCACCAAGTATGACTTTCCAGATCTGTAGGTGAAATGATAACCTATCTCTTTTAGAAATGAAATAAAACAATAAGTAAAAACACTTAACAGAGTGACCTGTACAAGAAGAGTTGCATTAACTAAGAGGTACATGTTGTAAATGCTACTTTTGCTGTTATTATTTTCAGGTTGTTCCATAGTAGCAGTTTGCAACTTTCTAAACAGGACTTCCTATCCAAGTAGCATCTCTTCTGACCTTTGGGAATGGAAGAAGCCACCTAGTAGTTGTCATTATTATTTTTAAACCCCTGGAATCAGAAACAGTCTTGGCTCCAAATATTTGGAAGTACTTTATTAACATTTATTTCAGAGTTTGGAATAATCTGCACATTCCATCTTAAACATTTTCTTTCTATCTTGGAAAGAGTCTCTCAAAATTAGCTTATTTGATCTATCAATTGAAAGGTCTCAGATTTTTTATTTTTGAGGCATTAGAGGTTGAATCCAGGGGCCCTTAACTCCCCAGCCCTTTTAATTTTTTATTTTGAGACAGGGTCTCACCAAGTTGCTTATGGTCTCAGTAAGCTGCAGAGGCTGAATTTGTGATCCTTCTGCCTCAGCCTTCCTAGCTGCTGCAATTACAGGCATGTGTGACAGTACCCTGCTAGGTTCAGACTTCTGTAATGGTATTTGATGAGTCCAAATCAATGACAGCTTTGTAGATTTAACTCTCTTGTTTACCTTCATCCCCATCCTGGTATCAGCGACTTAAAGTCACGCGTATTGGTTTGGGTAAGAACAGCCTGTTTTGTAAGTGATTAGAGATGCTGTCTACCTCTTTAAAATTGTGTGATAATCTGGAACATGTTTTAAAAATGGAAGGGTGATTAAGTAGAGGAGAGTCATAGCATTGTTTATCCAGAGTAATACTAGCTTTTTACCTCATGTAGACTTCCAAAAAAGTCTAAGGGGTCACCAATGCCTCCTTCTCATTTGAGATGTCTACCTAGCTTAATTAAACATAAGCAGTAGTGCTAAAACTAGAAATTAAGTTAATGAGATTCCAGGATGTTTACTACTGCTAATTATTTATGAATTATTTGTATGTCAAAAAAATAGACCACAAATGATTTGTTGGGTCAAAAATCACAAGAAAGCTAGTTTATTTTATGGAAATCAGGTACACATATTATTTAATTAAGTGTGTTATTTGTACAATCATTATATATAATATATATATCTTTTAAATAGTATAATTTAATAAATATGTATAACTGATATATATCAAATGGATATAATATATACAAGAGAACTCTTTGTAGAGAAAACTTCATGTGTAGAGCTAAAATCACCTGAATAGCTACAACTCACTTGATTTTCAGAATAAATTTATAAAATAGACAGCTATTATTCCTATTTTATAAATGAGGAAACTAAGTTTTAGAGGGTTAAGTAACTTTTCCACAGAATATAGGATTTTAATATTCCTTTTGTTACTCATTTGCCCAAAGTAGGGATACTACAAGAAAAGGTTGGAGACACTACCTAAGAAAATAATTGGCATTGACTACGAATGTCATTGATGACCTAAAACATGGAGGAGTTTATTTCTCAATTTTCTAAGCAGTTAAAGTGAGGAGTTAAGGGTACAAGCTTTGAGGTTAGCCTGCCTGTGTTCAGAAGATTTCAACTTACTTCATTATGTACTACTTGTCAAATTATGTAGACTGCAGTCAGGTTTCTAATCTGTAAAATAGGAACAGTAATAGTGTCTCTACTCTGGAGAATACTGAGTTAATTTAGGTAAAGGACATAACACAGGGCCTGGTAAAAGCTCAATGGATCTAAGATGTCAGTACTATTACTATACTGTTATTTCAAGTGACAGATGACTTCTTACCTGAGGCCCGGGTGGAACGAATGCTGTCATAGAAATACAAGCAGCCATCCTTCAGAATGCAATAGTGCTGGACCCACAAGTCTGTGCTTCTATCCAGCTGGTGCAGGAGGCCCAGACACTCTGGGTTTTTAATGGCCAAAGGTGGAAGACTGCTGTTGTGCAGAGTAACGTCTTCCCAGACATGGTTCTGAAAATGTAGCACAAAGGGATCATCTGAATGGTCATTCTGCTATTGACCTTTGGCAAAGCCATTGATTCCAAGAGACAGTGCCATCATGACCAAGTGTGTTTGATTTTAAGGAGACCACTGCCCCAAATGATTCTATTATCAAGACAATCTGAATAATTGAGCAACTAATCCAAAAACCTAAAACCCAAATTTACCCATTGACCATAGAGAACTCTTCTCCTTTTTCAAGTCCATAGACATCCTTTCTCTTTGACTTCTATTGTATTCTAAGAAAATCAAAAGATTATCAGGCAAAGAGCAGGAGGTTGTGAATAGAAAGGAAATGGAAGTAAGCACCCCAGCAAAGATTTTTTTTAAATGCCTCTGCCTGTAATTGCTGGACCTGTTCTATTTTACTCACCGCTGGGGTTGTCCCTATACATCTGTTCCTGGTATGTCCACAGTGACTAAAAACAGCCCCTGGTCCATGCTTTTCTTTATCTGTAACCTCCATTTGTGCAAAGGAACAAGTTAAATGCCCCAGGCTAGCTCAAGCTTTAGGCTTTCATGGCCAGTGATGTAATAGACTGTTGATAAACTGGAATCCTCTACCCTGGAGGGCAGCCCTCAGTCCACAGGCATGAGACAGGCTCTTTCTGAGAACTCTGACTGAGGCTGGAGACACTGTGCTTTATCTCTTTATCAGAACCCTTGCTTATGCTTGCCAGTTTCTCTTCTTGTTTGAGTTTATTTTTGCCCTTTAGTTTTAACAAGACAGTGCAAAAGATTTCAGGATGCAGAGCTTGCTGTATTCTTTTCTGTGAAGTGGCAGCCTGCTGGGAGTTTGGGTGTTCAGTTTTTCACTTTGCTGCAGACACTCTGAGTGCATTAGCAGAATAGATACCTCTTAAAAATATCGAGGCTCATTAGGATGATGCATTGGAGAGATGGATGAGTGCATCGAGTGTTGTGTTCCAGGCAAAATGAAACACATGTCCTGCTGTTTGTCATATGATGATGTTTGTGATTGTTCTGAAAGGACAGTCAGGAGGCAAGGTATATTCATACTCAATCTGAATTTTCCCAAATGCACAAGAACCAAAATATAGAGAGAACATAATTGATGCTAAATGCCTTTTGCCTGCATGCCAATTTGTGAGGGAATAAGCATATTTAAAGAAAATCTATAACTTCATTAGAAATCATATCCATAGCATAAAAATGAAGCAACTGAGTATTAAAGCAATTTTTTTCTTTCTCGACAAGGTTGTATATAGTACAAGCTCAGAAAGAGAACTATTGAATGCCTTAGGGGCTGAAGTGATGACTCACTTGCTGATGTTATGAACTTATCTATCACTTTATAGGTAAACTCTAAATTAAAAATGATATTGCTTCAAAATTGGGAATCTTGAGTGGAAATGAATATTGAAAGTTGGCCTGATATATCTATAGAACAACAATATGAGAATAAAGCACTGTATATCCAAATATAATGATAAAAAGTTGCTCAGCCAACAGAACCATCATGAGATACCTCTGAGATCTTATCTTTTGGGGGTGTAAAGAAAACAGCAACGTTGGTTTATTATCATGGGGAACTACTGGACTGCTCTGTGTGAAACAGAAATTCCACCCCAGTTTGTGACTCCCTATTGAGTCTTACTGGGAAGGATGTCATACAAACCCCTGAAAATAAAAAGAACAGCAGGAATGCAAGCTTCCCCACAGGATCTGAGCAGAAAACCCTATTGACTTAACATTCTCTTTCTGAGCTTTTAGAACAGATCTAAGAAGTCCCTGGGTGGATTGCATGACATTTAACTTGTTCCTTTTCCCCTCTGAAAAGAAAAGCAAAATGAAGGCAGAGAAAAATATCAAGGAAACCTTACCTGGTGAATAGGATGGGCTGCTTTTTCCATTGCCTCAAGCCACCTGCAAGACAGTAAAATGAAAGGAGCTATCCTTGGGGACTGGATTAGTGTCATTTAGAGGGGCTTGTTTTGCCAAATCCACCATTCAGACAGAACAGTCCTGGGGCAAGATGTATTTTATTGCACTAAGTTCTTGGGTGAAGGGCAACATATTCTTGCAAAATTAGGTTTACTGTGTGACAAAATCCCACCTCCAATAGCTATATTAAAAATAAATTATTTCTTCCCCTCCTTAACTGTTGTTTAATTAGTATCTGAGAGAAAAATTATTCATTCTTTATTTTTCCAAAGTATGAAATTTATTAACACCAGCAGACCTGATAACAATTGGTACATTAATGGTAAGGCACTGTCTATTAAAATATGGAAAGACTGGTAAATGCTCCATCCTGTGTCCATTCCCCAAGTGTTCCTTGGACATAGTGGTCACCTTTAGTACAGCATTAGTGTCCATTCTTTTTTTTTTTTTTTTTGAGGGGGTGGGTACTAGGGATTGAACTCAGGGGTACTCAACAACTGACCCACATCCCCAGCCCTATTTTGTATTTTATTTAGGGTCTCACTGAATTGCTTAGCACCTCATCATTACTGAGGCTGGCTTTGAACTTGCAATCCTCCTATCTCAGCCTCCCAAGCCACTGGGCTTACAGGCATGCGCCACCGTGCCCAGCTTAGTGCTCATTCTTGAAGGTTGAATTTTTTTAGTCTTCCCTCCTTAGCCAGACATGATTAGAAATCATATCCACTGCATAAAAATGAAACAATCCAATATTAAAGCGATTTTTCCCCTCAACAATTTGCATGTAGCACAAGCTCAGGAAGAGTTATCAAATGCCGTCAATAATAAACTCTGCTGATCCACTGCCTTTCTTGTATTTACTCTCCCTCCTTCATTCTATCCATCCCTCACTCCAGATAAGCAGCATTTTCACTGCAGTTTCCAGTTGATTTACTGGATTTCCCAGTGAACTCCATTTCCTCTGGAAGACAGGGTAAGTAATAATCATGGTGGCTGAATGGTCATAGCTTACAGGACACTTTCTTAGAAATTCATGCACACTTCTCCCTTTGGGTATTGTGTTCACAAAATGTCAACTGTGTTCATACTCCTCAAAACTATACAAATTAATTAATCAAGCTCATCTCAGTGTGGTGTATTAAGCTTCAATCCTTCTACATTATTTTTATACCTAAGACTATCAATCTAATTAGCTTCAAATACATCTATCTGGCAGTTTTGGGGGATACTAGGTGTGAATTCTAGCAGTATTGAGGGTTTTTTTTTTCAGAAAATATAGAAATCTAAAGCAATTGAATTAGCAAAACATACTTATTTTCTTTAGAAATTCTCTTAGCAAAAAACCTGAAGGCATAATGAAAAAAGTAATCTTCTCACACCTAAGGGAGAAAACAACCAACTTGTTGACTCATGCTATAAATTTGTCATTCCCTTTTCTACTTCAACTGCCAAGAATCTTTTAGGCTGTCATTGAAGAAGCATTTTTCCATTCAAAATGAAACTGGTAGGGTAAAAGATTAATGAATTACCTTTTCATTTCTTGGTTTGAAGTTGCACAGAGGCAAAGACTTCTATTTCCAGGTGGAGGGACACAGTTAAACACAAATGATTTTCCCAAGCTGCTATCTATACCAACTTCTGCACCTTCTAACTTTATTACCTCTAGAGGTGGCCACTTTCCTTCATCCTGTAATTGATAAGGAAGATGTTAAGTAATTGATGCTGTAATTACATAGACAAGGGAGAAAATGAGACAGAGAAAAGGAAGACTAAAATGATTGCTTTAAATTGATTTTTTTGGTTCTGTCATGAAAATAAAAACAAAAAGTTTTTGCAGGTGGCACATCTTTCTTAATATAGTTCATGGAATTCCAAATTTTCTACCTGTGATATTTTTCACATCATTTTTGAGCAACCACTATTAACATGTGTTTCATTTATGACAACTTAGGAAAGTATCAATAATTATTAATGCCCATTTTTTTTCTATCAGAAATAAAGAGCAGCAAAAGAATTAACATCACAAAATATACATGGTTGGTAGTGACATAACATCTCAACTTAGTACCTATAGTTATTATATATTTTATGCTTTAAATTCTTTATATCTATTAATTGATTATCCTCACAAATGCAAATGAGGAAGTTACTCTTATCATACCCACAAGCTCAGTGAAAATGAAGAACATTTTTGGTTTTTTTTTTTTTTTTTTTTTTTTTTTTGGACTGGGGATTGAATCCGGGTCTCTTTAACACTGAGCTACATCTCCAGCCCCTTTTATGTTTTTGAGACAGAATCTTGTTGTTTGGGGACTTTTAATTGCTAAGGCTAACCTTGAACTTGCGATCCTCCTGCCTCAGTCTCCTGAGTCACTAGGATTACATGCAAGAACATTTTTCTTTAAAGGACAGTCCTTTAACATACCATAATACTCATGTAAACTGAAAATTATTTTGTAGTAAGTATTTTCTTATTTGTACTTATTTTACAATTATTTCCCAAAGTATCCTGTCCACTATACATATTTGTTCTAAAAATATCTACTGTAGATATAATTTACATACCATGAAGCCATTCATTCTACAAGTACAACTCAATGGTTTAAGTTAAATTTATATTTAGGAAATTAGCATCATAATTCAATTTTAGAACTTTCCCATTAACCCTAAAATTTCCTCTGAGACTATTTGTAAATTGCAACTATCTCCTTCCTATCATAAACAACCAAAGACATATTTTCTATGTTTTTATAGTTGCAACTTCTGGACATTTAATACAAGTGGAATTACAAAATATGTAATCTTTTATGACTGATTGCTTTCACTTAGTGTAATGTTTTCAAGTTTCTTCTATGTTGTAGCACTTACCAATAAGTCATTTCCTTTTATTGCTGAATTATATTCTGTTGCATGGATATGCCACATTTCATTTATCCATGCCCAAATTGGTAACTTTTTTTTCAGTTTTGTGCTATTTTGAATGACACTGCTATGAATATTTGCACATATATCTTGGATATATGCTTTCATTTCTCTTTCATAGGTAACTAAGAGTGAATTTTCTGGGTCATATGGTAAGTTTATTTTTAACTTTACAAGAAATGGCCAAATATGTTCCCAAGTGACTGTACCATTCTACATTTCCCCCACCACAGAATGAATTTCCCAGATTCTCTACACCCTCATAATAATCAGCAATGTTTGTATTTTTGATAGACACCCTACTATGTGTGTAGGGTGTCTTCACCCTACTTCATTTTCTAAAGGCAGATGATGTGGAACACCATGTAATATGCTTATTGACTACTGAAATGTCTTCTTTGGTGAAATGTCTCTTGTTTAGTCAAGTGTTTTTCAAATATTTTATGAGAAAAATATTTTCTGAGAAATCAAGTAATAAATGAAACAGAGAACTTAATCCCTAGTATAATAGCTCTGTCTTCCTATATAACATCTATCAAATTTCTGATTTTTTGAGTCACTGGAATTTGGGGACTGTTGGCTCTGGAGTCAGCACTTGATGGTTATGATATTTAACACCCAGGTGTCAGAGTATCTCCTGATACCATTAGCTTTCCTGAAATAGCACAGAGTCTAAAATTTTTATCTGCTTTGTTATATATCAGAAAGTTGGCATATCTTATAATAATAATAGTGCATGGTCAGTAATATATTAGGAACTAGAATATATTTTCATTTGCTTTAATGAAGATAAAGACCATGTGCCTATACAAAGAGGCTAATTTTTTATTTTTTTCTTAGGAACATCTTAAATGGCAAAAATTTATATAAATGAAGCTTGGAGGTTTTAGTCTATTGGTAAGAGATTGATATGTTCATTTGCTAAAAGCAAATGCTCACTGGGACTGCTTTCTGTGGACGCATTTTACAGATAGGATGGTGCAGTATGTTGGTCTCTGTGTCAGTGCTGTTTAGTCACACTCTACTGCCAGTGCTCTCTCACATCCTTTGCTGTAGAATACATAAAAGTTCACTTATACAGTTCATGACACACAGCCAAGAATAGTACCTCAAGTCATGAGCAGAAACAGAGACTGTTTCCCCTGTGCTCAAGTTTCTTCTGTTTTAGAAAATGGATTACCGAGTGAGCTGTATTTAAAAACGAGGGCTACTCTCTCTTCCATGTTCTCCATCATGGCCCAGATTCCACTTTTACTAATCTCAGCTGCTGCCTCATTGCCCCTGTTTATGAGCCTGCTCTGGCCCTTGGAGCAGCTGCAGTAAAACCATGGTCACAGAGCCTGGCTCACAGGAGTTGGTGCTCCTGCAGCTGCACTGACTCATCCTACTTTTTTTTCCTCTCAGTTTCAACATCCCAGGCAACTTTAAATTGCACTCTTGTGGAGATGCAGAGGTTACGAAAAGATTGTCCATTTAGCCGAATCCTAATGCTGCCTGGATGATGGTGCCACATTCTCCAATCAGATGTTTTCTAGAGATAAAGGACAATTAGAATCCCTCTTGTACTTCACTGCCATGCCCCTGAGGCTTTTAACTCATCCTGTAAGCAAAACTCTATCCCTCGGTTTGGCAATGAATATTAAACTGATTCTGTTTGATCTCCTCCCCACAGCTCTGCCAAAAGTCCCTCTTCTGTCAGTGCTAGAACAATGAAGATTTCTTTAAGACTCTGGTTTCCCCACAATTTTACATTTTCCTGTCCAAGGCGAAGAAATTCTTTAACTCCAATTTTCTATTCCTGAGCCAAGTCATAGATGCAGCTGCTTCATGCGTGCAGGATTGATTAAAATGGCAGAGATGCTGGAGGGATTTATCAAGGAATTGTTTCGTGATGTCCAGAAGCTATAGACTGAGAATAAGGGAATTTGGGCTGTTCATGCCAGATGGCACTGGGTGATGTTGACATTGTCTATCATGGAGAGAATACTTCTGCAGAAATAATCCCAAAGGTCAGGATGTTCAGAAAAAGGGAACAGTAAGCAATAATAATGACAAAAACTCAACCTAGAGTGAATCCACTTCTAAATTAAATTATTTCTTCAGAGAAAAATACAGACAAGGACATTTGTATCTTTCTGCAATCTGGCTCTGCTAAAATAAAATTACCTACACATATTTTTGAATCATTTGCTTTGGTCAAAATTTTGGTTTAAATATGCTAGAAATTATTTGTTGATGTCAGACCTCCTAGTCTAAGAGAAGAGAAAATGTGGGAACACTGTACTGATATGTTTCATTTTATCCAGAGACACAGCCATGAAAATCCACAAACTAAGGAGGTGGGAAAGGCATCTTTAGCTATGGGAGAGATCTAATTCTCAGTGGGGAAAACAGAGCCAAGATAAATTTAGAGGGAAGAAAAAGCATGTCCTAAAGCAAAACATCACATGAAAGGGTACATGAAATACACAGCTAGGGAGCTCTATTTAAAGCTGGAAGGTTGAAGCAAATTGAGGAATGTGTGTCCCTCCGAGCCTTATTAATGATGCTGAGAGCCCTTTATCTCTAGGTGGCAGTTTAAAGTCATCCCCTCCTTGTCAGTGACTGAAACCATCACTCCTAGATAGCTATGAGATGATGGCCTCTGTCCATGTCACAGCTGATGGGATCAGGAGAGCAGCAAAACTACATGGGAAAAGGGAAAGAGACATAAAAGGGTGATTTCACTTTTGCTATCTTTGTTCTGTGAATAAATAATTCTTGGCTCTCAGAGCACTGGAGACCCTCATTATACCACTCAAAATTATTT